GTAACAGTAGGTTACAGCAACAGTAGGTTACAGTAACAGCAGGTTACAGCAACAGTAGGTTACACCAACAGTAGGTTACAGCAACAGTAGGTGACAGTAACAGTAGGTTACAGCAACAGTAGGTTACAGTAACAGTAGGTTACAGTAACAGTAGGTTACAGCAACAGTAGGTTCCACCAACAGTAGGTTACAGCAACAGTAGGTGACAGTAACAGTAGGTTACAGCAACAGTAGGTTACAGTAACAGTAGGTTACAGTAACAGTAGGTTACAGTAACAGCAGGTTACAGCAACAGTAGGTTACAGTAATAGTAGGATACAGTAACAGCAGGTTACAGCAACAGTAGGTTACAGCAACAGTAGGTTACAACAACAGTAGGTTACAGTAACAGCAGGTTACAGCAACAGTAGGTTACACCAACAGTAGGTTACAGCAACAGTAGGTGACAGTAACAGTAGGTTACAGCAACAGTAGGTTACAGTAACAGTAGGTTACAGCAACAGTAAGTTACAGCAACAGTAGGTTACAGTAACAATAGGTTACAGCAACAGTAGGTTACAGTAACAGCAGGTTACAGTAACAGTAGGTTATAGTAACAGCAGGTTACAGCAACAGTAGGTTACAGTAACAGTAGGTTACAGGAACAGTGGGTTACAGTAATAGTAGGTTACAGTATCAGTAGGTTACGGTTAAATTGAGTTACAGTAACAGTAGGTTACAGTAACAGCAGGTTACAGGAACAGCAGGTTACAGGAACCGTAGGTTACAGCAATAGTAGGTTACAACAACAGTAGGTTACAGGAACAGTAGGTTACATTAACAGTAGATTACAGTAACAACAGGTTACAGGAACAGTGGGTTACAGTAACAGCAGGTTACAGCAACAGTAGGTTACAGTAACAGTAGGTTACAGTAACAGTAGGTTACAGGAACAGTAGGTTACAGTAACAGTAGGTTACAGTAACAACAGGTTACAGTAACAGTGGCATACAGTAACAGCAGGTTACAGGAACATTAGGCTAAAGACAGGGCCGTAACCAGCCTTGATGGCGCCCAGAGCGATCTTTGAATTTGGCGGCCCCTTCCCCCCCTTACGGCTCCCCACCACCACTCCCTGCAACCACACTTCTACCGCAAATAATTATATCAACTAAATTTTAATTCATATAAATAATGTGGCATAATAGTAAATAAGGGATTGAGAATAACACTGATGATGACGTATAATTTTATGGTTGTATCAAGGCTTGAACAAATTAACTTCAAGAACTGGAATAATTATCTATAAGTAATCACCAATTTGCTTCTCAAAACACATATAGTCTATATTTAGTTCATGAAATACCATAACCCAGTGGATTAATTAACTTTTCATTATAAAATTATTTTACTCTCCAAGTAAACAGATTCAATAATAATCTTGAACAATTCTGATGAGTGACCAGATTTTATTCTTAACCCTAGAAAGTAAGTTTATTTATCCAATATTAATTGTCATAATACAATGCACAGTAGACCAAGGCTCATAAATATCAACTAACTAAAAATGCAGCATTTAAGTTTTTTTTAAGTATAATGGTCTGTTAATTACATCAGCACATATGAGGCACCTTCAGTAATATCACTGAAAGCTAAGAGTGCACATTAAGAATTACTCTGGAACATCATTTTTTACAAAATCACTTTCCTTGCTATCTTCTGTTCAATTGATACAATAGCTATGTTAGATAAACGTTCTTGGCGCCCAGGGCGGCTGCCCCTTCTGCCGCCCAGTATCAGTAGGTTACAGTATCAGTGTGTTACAGTATCAGTAGGTTACAGTAACAGTAGGTTGCAGGGACAGCAGGTTACAGTAACAGTGGGTTACAGTAACAGTAGGTTACAATAACAGTGGGTTACAGTAACCGTAGGTTACAGTAACAGTGGGTTATAGTAACAGTAGGTCACAGGAACAGTGGGCTACAGCAGAACAGATTTGTTCAAGTCAAATTATTTTTCCAAGTTATGTTTTTATAATATCTTGCACTAACGTCTTCTATATCAGCGATTTTTCTTGTTTTCTGAAAATTTGACAAATATAAAAATCATGCTTTTATCTGTAGTAATTTATCTTACCCGTTTGCGCTCAAACATTCCAGTATGTTGAGTGATTACATTCAAGCTCTCCTGGTTGTTTCCATAAAACTGGTTGCTGTTGACAGAGTTCGCTCAAAGGTCAAGGTGGCTGGGTCAGTAGGCATTCAACCGTCTCTAAGCTCTTACCTTCAGTTGAGTGTTTGTCTAGGCCGGACGACGGGAGATTTGTGCCAATTGCCGCTCTTAGACGAGGGAGGAGGAGGGGGGGGGTGGGGTAATGTACCGAGGTCTAACATGCCCTAACACTTAATTTTCTTAAGACCACCACACATAGCTTGCGGTTCGTATAGTTGTGTGTAGGTGTGTGCTAGTGTGTGCTCTTTAAAGTTCGCCAGCTTCATGACTCAGCCGTCGTTGGACCAGTTTATGCCGTTGTTGCAGGACTGGTAATGTCTGACCCCTTACTGCAACACACTTGATGCCAAGGTTTGCAAAATACGTACCAGTGCCTAGATGTACTTTTTTCTTTTCTTTTTTACCAGAAGTCCAAATATGCAAAGGCTTGTCCTGTATGTTTAGTTTTAGTGAAAACTTCCCCGCAGTTTAATAAATGGAATTTGGCAAAAGAAATTCCTGGACACAAGTCCGTGCACACTAATTCCAAATTTGCACATATGAGCTTACTTCAGCGGGTCAAAGGCTAAGGAATGTATCAAATTTAAATTTTTTTGGCTATGGCCTGGCACTTGACATTATTAAGGACCTGCCACGCTCTGCCATAAACAGATAAATTGTACCGGGAAATTTTCCCCCCACACACGCATCATTCTGTCACTTTATGTAACTTGCTGACAAAACCCATGACCCTTCAGGCTTTTACGCCCTTAATGCATGAGTCATAAAGGCAAGCATGAACTCCGCATTCTTCCCAGATGGGCACTGTAAACTCTTCTGCGCTTCACCTTGCACGGGATGTAAGGGGGTGCCCAATAAACTAGCCCCCTCCGGGGCAATCTAAAAAAATCTTTGACAGTCGCTCCTTTATATTTAACCTGTGTAGATGCGACCCTGTACAAAGGTACTCTGACTTTCACCAGCAGATTTAAGAGTATATCCTCAGTGTAAGCGTAATGTCACACACCACGCAGGTTAATGTAAGATACATATGGCAGGGTAAATGGGTGCCTAACTTAACTGTTAGGAAAATGAAGGTGGCCCAGTTCAGTGCCAGCCACGCTGCCTCCTTGTAGGCCGAAGTCTTAGTATACATGATGTATCCACAGTCCTTTCCTCTACTATTCTCTTCTTTTATCCCAGCCACTGTAGTTTCTTGTGTGTGTTGGGGAGTTGTGGCAACGCCCTAAAGTAGTCATGTTTGTAACTTTGAACTAATCTGTTACGATTGTGCCTCCTTCATATATGTCATCACTTACTAATAAATAGGTACCTATCAATGGGCACCATCATTGCAATATATGCTACGTCATCACCAAAAATGCGTAAATCGGTACCATTGTGACCATAAATATTATTATTGTGGATCATCATAACAATAAATTAGTTTATCACCGCCCATTCATCACCGTGTAACAGCTAACGAAAGCGATGTCATCAGGTCAAAAATTAAGCCAATATGGTGAAATCTTGGTCGCCTTCCGAAAAAAAAAATTAATTAATTAATTAGCCCTCACGTTCACCATGCGAGTTTCCTGTAGGCGAAAAGCATGACCCGGTCACCTCTACAATATTCAGTGGAGGCAGGCCATGACCGGGTGTTTTCTAGAGGAAGCTTCAGTCAGTGTTTGTAAGCTCAAGTCACACCCAGCCAAGCGTAATTCAAGCCAACCTTATATTGAAACAAAGGGAAATAGAGTTTCTGCTCATTTTATTATGTCGGTGTGAGATTGTGGTCAGTATCTTACAGTAAGGGTGGGATTTTGTGTATTTTATTGTGTAGACGTGAGATGCTGTCTACGGGGCAGCTATCTGGTTGTGTTGTGACCAGCGGAGAATGACGTAGTGTTAGGCTGCCGGTCATGGTGCCGCCTACACCATGATTCTGCTTCTTTCTTACACCTTTCTCGAGAGTTCTCTTCACAGATTCTAGGTCGTGTGCGTCCTACATCTGGTGGAAATTACATATACCTTGAAAGGCTTATTCTTACACACAAGTCCTTGTGCGAGACGATTGGTTTCTTTTTGTCAACAGTGAAATATTGATGATCGCAACATATTCATTGTATAAACCCAGAGCGATACTCGTGAGATACGGCTTGATATATTTTAGCTCAAGAGGTCAAGTATCAAGGTCACAGGGTCATTATATAGGACCGGATATGGGTCTAATCTTCCTGAATAAATGATGAATGTCTTGAGGTATAGAACATAGAGGCAACTAACAACAGTGCACACGTGTAGTGAGGAGAGAGCATTCGTTAGAAGCAGGCAGCACAAAAAACCCATCAGTGTTTTTGTCAAGAATTCAAGTTGGGTTCAGATTGATTTCTAGGTTGCTGCCTTCTTCCCCAGCAGAGATTTACAAGTTTGTTAACTTAAATTGTGACTAAATTGGTCGATCAGTAACACTAGTATTTTCTGAAAGGAATAAGAACGCAAGAGAAACTGATGTGGACAAAAGATAAGGTTAGAAGAGTTATAGTGTTATATATATGGAGAAATAAATCCAGATTACTGTTACTGTAATATATTGTGTTACTAAAGCCATATTTAGAACAAGGAGCTACCACGGTGTACTGGAGCACCGTTTGAGTTAAAGGGTCATGGTTGGTAACATCTTGGAAAGCGTGGGGAAGGGGCGGTAGCCTAACCAGAACTTCTCTTCTCTCACTAAAGCCAACCACACACTTGCATCTCTCTAAAGTCTTAATCTTTATTACTGTATTTACTGACACAAAATTCATACTTCAAGACCATAGTTGTTGAAACGTAGTTACTGTCATATTAGACTCAGTCACCGTCATGTTAGACTCAATCACTGTCACATTAGACTCAATCACTGTCACATTAGACTCAATCACCGTCACATTAGACTCAGTCACCGTCATATTAGACTCAATCACCGTCATATTAGACTCAGTCACCGTCATGTTAGACTCAGTCACTGTCACATTAGACTCAATCACCGTCACATTAGACTCAGTCACCGTCATATTAGACTCAGTCACCGTCACATTAGACTCAATCACCGTCACATTAGACTCAGTCACCGTCATATTAGACTCAGTCACCGTCACATTAGACTCAGTCACCGTCATGTTAGACTCAGTCACTGTCATATTAGACTCAGACACCGTCATGTTAGACTCAGTCACCGTCACATTAGACTCAATCACCGTCATATTAGACTCAATCACCGTCATATTAGGCTCAGTCACCGTTATATTAGACTCAATCACCGTCATATTAGACTCAATCACCGTCACATTAGACTCAATCACCGTCATATTAGGCTCAGTCACCGTCATATTAGACTCAATCACCGTCATATTAGACTCAATCACCGTCATATTAGGCTCAGTCACCGTCATATAAGACTCAATCACCGTCATATTTTATCTGTTTTTTCTGGCTAAATATATCAAAGAAAAACTGGAGCCAATTAACTATTTCACCCCTTAGTTTATCACTACAGATTACACTCACCAGGTTATATACAACATACAGTTTATAACTACAGGTAACACACACCAGGTTATATACAACATACAGTTTATCACTACAGGTAACACTCACCAGGTTATATACAACATACAGTTTATCACTACAGATTACACTCACTAGGTTATATACAACATACAGTTTATAACTACAGGTAACACACACCAGGTTATATACAACATACAGTTTATCACTACAGGTAACACACACCAGGTTATATACAACATACAGTTTATAACTACAGGTAACACACACCAGGTTATATACAACATACAGTTTATCACTACAGGTAACACTCACCAGGTTATATACAACATACAGTTTATCACTACAGATTACACTCACTAGGTTATATACAACATACAGTTTATAACTACAGGTAACACACACCAGGTTATATACAACATACAGTTTATCACTAAAGGTAACACACACCAGGTTATATACAACATACAGTTTATAACTACAGGTAACACTCACCAGGTTATATACAACATACAGTTTATCACTACAGGTAACACACACCAGGTTATATACAACATACAGTTTATCACTAAAGGTAACACACACCAGGTTATATACAACATACAGTTTATCACTAAAGGTAACACACACCAGGTTATATACAACATACAGTTTATCACTAAAGGTAACACTCACCAGGTTATATACAACATACAGTTTATAACTACAGGTAACACACACCAGGTTATATACAACATACAGTTTATCACTAAAGGTAACACACACCAGGTTATATACAACATACAGTTTATAACTACAGGTAACACTCACCAGGTTATATACAACATACAGTTTATCACTACAGGTAACACACACCAGGTTATATACAACATACAGTTTATCACTAAAGGTAACACACACCAGGTTATATACAACATACAGTTTATCACTAAAGGTAACACACACCAGGTTATATACAACATACAGTTTATCACTAAAGGTAACACTCACCAGGTTATATACAACATACAGTTTATCACTAAAGGTAACACTCACCAGGTTATATAATGATTTATGAAAAAGATGAACTAGAGATAAAAATATTCCAAAGTACAGTGTTTGTGGTCTAGATCAGGGGTTCTCAACCAGGGGGGAAAACTGATTCGGGAGCAAGAGATATGTTCGATGAGAAATCAATCACAGAATTTTGGCCCTTGATGTGCGATTCCTACCCAAAAGTGGCAGAAAGAGCTATCCGTGCATTGCTTCCGTTTGTGTCGACATATCTTTGTGAATCAGGCTTTTCAACTCTGTTGCAAATTAAAACGAAGCAGCGTAGTAGATTAGAAGTAGAAAATGACCTGCGTTGTGCCCTTTCAAGCACTCCTCCGCGTATCCCAGAATTGGCGAAGAAAAAACAATCACAGGTTTCTCATTGACTGTAATCTTCATCTGAATAAAATTAATTACAAATTTACAATATCCTGGTATTCTATTGAACTTTTTGTTTATTGCATTATGCTTCAGTTTGGTCTGTTAAGTAATTCATTATAAATAAAAAAAAAACTATTTTACTTTTATTCAAGTTTTATAAATCCATCAACATTTTCAATTGGCATTTAATTTGTAAAACTCCACTATAAAAATAATCCATGTAAAATTGTAAATGTATATGTACTAATATGGAAAAAATAAAGGATTTTCAGTATTATATTCATATTATTTGGAATGCACTTTTTGAGGCAGACAATCTTGGAAAGGAGGGGGGAATGACATTCTGACATATGGTGAAAGGGGTGCATGGGACAAACAAGGTTGAGAACCACTGGTCTAGATGAAGGGGTCCGGTTTAGGCATTTAAAAGCCATTGATGAGCATTCTGTCCAGTATTTAAGGTAAATTTCATATATAAATTTTCTGTACACTCATTCTTGGTTAATTCTTATTGTATTTATTATCCGCATTGTGAGTTCTGAAAGATCCAGTCCTGAGTCATGAAGATACTTCAGGGTCATGTACCATTACCATGAACATACTTCAGGGTCATGTAACTTTACCCTGAAGATACTTCAGGGTCATTAAACATTACCACGAAGATATTTCAGGGTCGTATAATAGCACCTTAAAAATAACCCGTATTGTTAATATTAATATGACTGATTTGGTCACACGGTAACATCCAGTAATATAACCGAAACTGCAATACATTAGCTTGGGGGTCCAGTTGAGAATGGCTTATATATATATATATATATATATATATATATATATATATATATATATATATATATATATATATATATATATATATATATATATATATATATATATATATATATATGCTTCAGCGTACTTGACCTCATGGAATCGTTCCTCAGCACTTTGAAACAACACACACTGAGGTTTCTCAATGCCATCAGCGAGAATTGATATAAATCAGTAGTTAATGTATTCATCACTGTACTTCCGTTTCTTAGCAACACTGACAGCCATCGCAAATGCAAACAGACAGAAACAGACGAATGATAAAGACTAAAAATTATAATAATAAAAAACAAAACTGAGACAATAATCGGAATGGCAAACACACAAATATGCATAAAGTCCAGACATACTGTATGTAAACATACATAAAATGCCTATGCAATCACACGTAAAACATACACATACAGTCCACTCACAGTACACTCACATATTTTCCTAATGATATCTTGAGCCAGATTGAGAACATTCGGTCTGATCACCACTTGTAAAGCGATGACACACTGACATGTACTGAACATGTGAGATCAGTGGCACAGTCCAGAGCCCATCACCCTGCTGACAGGAACTAGAATCGTGCAATCTGAGCGAATCCGTTGGAAATGAAAGACTAGCTACTGCACCATACTATGTAAATATCAAAACTGCACCGTACGGGTATTATGATTACACACAATGACAAAAACAAAACAAAAAACGATTTCTCCCCTAACAAGGCAAAATAAAAAATAAAAATTTAATCAGTTTCCACATTTTCTCCAAACATATACTACTTACACCACTAGCCCGCCACGGCCCCCCTAAAATCTTGCCGTGGCGGCCCATTACCCCAGAACACGATCGGCAAATTGATTAACATCCAGGTTCCCAATTGCTGCTGGTTGTTGAAGCGCAGTAATACATTATAGCATCAACGCGGGTACTCATATCATAACCATGTACAGGGTATCTCGTGAATTTGTCTTGTGGGTAATTAGAATGTTTACTAACTTACAATACTCGCAAAAATACTTGAGTTGTTAAAAGGAATTATTACCTATACAGTATAGTATTACTTCTAACATCATCAGCATCAAGTAAATACATAAATCGGTACAGTATTTCTACTGGTATTTCTGAATGGTCTAAGTGATATTTCTAATCTCTATCGTTGACAAAAGAAGTCCCTTACCGGCCACGGATAATGGCGTATAGTATCGTCAGTGTACACAAAGGTTATTTCCCCTGTCACATTATATCGTAATAATTACCTTGTTTATGCTAACCTTGTGCCCATGTGTTTATCACGGGTCGTGACTGGTGGCGTGACTCGACAAGACATCAGTTACTACGGCTGGACCACGTCAGCACTGGGAAAGTTGCGGAAGCCAAGTCTTCCCCTGCTTGTTATGCATTGTGGTGGTGTCTACAAGAATTAAGTAAATAAAAATTCAAAGATTATCAATGTAATATTTTAAGCACTGTCAGCAAAAACAATTTTGATCCGTTATAGCAGGAAGAGTAAGTAGTGACGAAAACAATGCTCATGTGGTAGCAATAATGCACAGTAACAGGTGGTGTGGGAAAGTGGAGCGTCTCCTTCCCGTTCCCTCTTCCCTCCAGGGGCCACCCCCCCCCCCCTTCTGTACTGCCTATGGCTGTCATCTCTTCACATCATTAAGGTATGATAGTCTACCGTGTACCTTCCGCACTATCAGTCAACTGATTATATCCCAGCCCTACAACGTCGGCTTTAGATGAAAAGCTTCCCGCGTAGCCTAAATAAAATTTAATATTGGTAAACATTTTTCTCTTCTGACACTGTCCATCAAAAACTAGTGCTTGATACAACTGAAAATTAACCAAGTAACTTATCTGTATTTGGTTCTTTTAGAGTTATGTTGAATCCTTGTTGTATATACTTCTTAAATCAGACGTGTCTTCTGTATATTGTAATAATAGTAATAATAATATTCAGCTGTGTAGGGCGACTTTCTTAAACAAATCTTTCAATAGATTCATTGTACAATACTCATGTTCTTTGGTGGTAACGAGGCGGACTGGTCAGGCACACATTGTCGCTGTACACACAGCGACATTTATCACGAGAATGTTATTCTTCTCGATTGTTTGATTTACTGTAGAAACTGTATACCACAGTGTTAATCTACATGTACTAAGTAGGATGTGGTAGCCAAGTGGATATAACACTCGCCTCTGTCTTAAGGATCACTGGTTCCCGTCTCGGGCACCTCCAGTCAGTTCACCCAGCTGTGAATGGGAACTTTAGTGTTGGCTATCAGGGATTCGTATTCAGTGGGTTGTGTCCGTAGTGACCGTAACGTGTCGTCAAGCCATTTGGTCCACTTTAATGTTAGTTAATGCGAAAATTTCTTGTAAAGGGCCGCTTAGTGAGAGAAAAAGAGAGAGAAGGCGCGAATTCTTGGCGCCAACATGGCCACGTAAGGACAATGGTGGAGCTGGTACCCAGTGTGACATATTCAGCGATTTGTGTCGCGTCTCGCTTAACAAACAGGCGGGAAACTATTTGTCCCGATTTTCCAGATTTGTCATAAAATATGAAAATTTCATCAAATACAAAATAATAGAGTAACATCTATACAAGGTCAATATAGCTCTAGATCATCGGAAGTGCCTCGTAGCTGTGAGATTTCTGCCCAATCAC